CAGAACAATTCCTTGCTAAGCTCATGGAAACAGTAATAGAAGAGGACGAAACCATGGTTTCATTTGACGTAACAGCTTTGTTCACTTCAATCAACACCAAGCTGGCGAAGCAAACGATGGCAATACTACTAGACCAACGCGGATCCTCAGACACGGACAATAAAATAGATACCATCCACATGATGGAGTTGTTGGATTTATGCCTCACGACACATTTAGTTTCAACAGCCAAACCTATGAACAAATAACAGACACGCCAATGGGCTCACCGATATGTGGACTAGTGGCCGAAGCGGTGATGCAAGCATTGGAGGAAACCGCACTCCCGGTCGCAAAACCTAAACTCTGGCTACGCTACGTGGACGATACTTTTGTCGTCCTAAAGCGCTCGAAACTGGAAGAAACACATCAGATAATAAACAACACGTTTACTGGTATCCGTTTCACTAAAGAAGAGGAGGACAATGGTCAGCTACCACTCTTGGATGTGTTAGTAAAAAGACATGATGCTGGACAACTGGAGACAACAGTTTATCGGAAAGCGACGCATACAGACCAAATCTTGAATTATCGCAGCAATCATCCAACAGTCTACAGACGCAGCTGCGTAATAACTCTATTTAAAGGAGCGCAGACACATTGCAGCACCCCGCAGCTGAGGAAAGCGGAGGAAGATCATCTATTCGAAATGTTTACACGGAACAGGTATCCTAGGAATTTCATTTTACGTTGTTTAACATCAATAAAGCGACCGACGCATGAACAAACATCAGCAACGGATAAAAAGACAATCATTCTACCATACATAAATGGTGTCTCTGAGATGGCGGCGAGACTGCTACTACCTTTCGGAATCAGAGTTGCTCACAAGCCGACGGAAACCATCTGAGACAAGCTCTTCAATGGTAAGGACCGGTTTGGCAAAAAAGAAACAAGTGGTGTGATTTACAAAATCCACTGCAAAAATTGCAACAATTACTATGTGGGCCAGACAGGAAGAAAGCTCCGCACTAGGCTACATGAGCATAGCCTAGCCATCCGCCGACATGACCAGAACTCCCTAATGTCGGTACATATAGACGCCGAGAATCATCAGTTTGATCTGGAGAATGTCAGGATTATAGGCATGGCAAAAGCTCGAAAAGCACGCGAGTTCATCGAAGCTTGGTACTCGGGAAAGAACTCAATCAACTGACATTTAGATCTTGATACTGCCTATGAAGCACTGAGGGATAAAACAATACTCCGCCCCAGATCAAAGGGACAAAGGAACATCATTGAGGCGGAGTCTAGCTAATAGTACGCAAGAGTTGATTACACGGTCAGCTCACGTGGACCAATAGACTCCTGACGTTCGAATCAAGTGATCAATAATCACTTGGATCTGCAAGTGGCTCACATAAGTCGCACTGATGATGTCGTCTGCAACCAAATCAACCAGCTCGGAGAACACCCGCATACCCTCATCCGCATCCCGAGCTACAGATATTCTCACGGATTTCTAATGAATATCTCTGTGCTTCGGAGTTGCTGAGCTTCGAATGTTACTAGAGAAGGTTCAGTCGGTCGGTGGCCGAGTGGTATGCGCGTCTGGTTTGCAACCAGTTCGAATCCGCGTAGGGGCGGGCGTCCTCGCGGTATACTCAGCCCACGCGCGACTGGTGGTGGTCGCGTGGCAGCGACGCGCCGTTACGGCGTGCAGCTGGCGGTTTATTATTTTTTTATTATTACTAAAGCTTCAGAGAGGGTGCTTCCCGCTGCATTCGCCTACTCCTCGTTCAGATCTCAATTTGTTTTTAGTGCCGAAAATATGTTGATCTGACTTTTGGTTGTGAGCTCGACAGGTACAGCTACTGCCAAATATTGTATAAGCGCCTGATTGGTGAAAGCGACACAGGTGGGCGTGTATTCTACATGTCTCATGAATCGGTACAATATTAGCTTAGTTGTTGCCGATAGAGGAGCACATCACTACTACTACTTTGAACCCATCAGGAGGAGGATGAAAACTGGAACGCAAACTATCCTCTAGTTTGGACGAAACTATTGATTTGTTAAGGTCGGCAAAACTTATCCCTGCATGCTTTTTGGTTACATTAGCAGGAACATCTGCATTTCGAGGGACTGGCTCTGCTTCTGGGTTATTCGCCTTTGAAGACATGCTTGCTCTTGATTAATTATAATTCTTTGAAGTTAGTTTTTGCAACAATTAGTCTTTTACTGCATACGAATTGGGGTGCACTCGTATCATTAGGAAACTTCAGGAGTGTTGAGCATGATGTCATCTTTTCCTTCTTTCGCAATCTGAGGCATTGACAGTTGATTTCATTCATATTGCTTACTGTTAGAAGAGCATTATTAACTGTCGATATTTACCTTATCGGATGAGTTGCGATCTACCTAGACCTTGAGTCTCGGATGTGCTTGAAGATGGTAAGGAACCAGCCGTGCATAATCGCTTTAGCGCAACATTTGCTCATCCTATAAGTAGTTCACATAATGATAGAACGTGATCATAATTAGTGCTAAATTAATGTATTTTGCTTTCAAGCGTAGTTACTTCTTTTTCGAGAGCCTTAATCCGATCGGTCATTTCGGGTGGGATGGTGGTAGCGATGTTGGGATAGTTCACAGCCACATCCGATTTCTTTCGCAGTCCGGATAATGAACGTCTCGTTTTCACTGCACTAACTGCACTGCAGTAACACGACCGAGTCGGTCGTGGAGTGCATGGATAGGAGAGAGCCACACCGAAACGCTCCACTTCGGTGACGGTCCCAGTGACCGTATTGGCAGAGGCTGACTTCCAAATCAGCCGACGCCACGCGTGAGATTGCGCATCGCAATCCAATATACAAGGCGAGTGCTCCAAAATACCCGAAAATCTACTTTTAACCGCTGTGTCAAACACTGCTCCCGGAGCTCAATGGCCTAGTGATCATGGCGATAGCCGCCAAGCACTATGCCCCGAGATCCGCTCCTAGCTCAGCTATCTCTACCTGACGAGTCTAAACAAAGACGAAACCGTCGGTCGTGGAATGCATGGATAGGAGAGAGCCACGCCGAAACCCTCCACTTCGGTGACTGTCCCAGTGACCGTATTGGCAGAGGCTGACTTCAACGTCAACCGACGCCACGAGTGAGATTGCGCGTCGCAATCCAATACACACGGCGAGTGCTCCAAAACCCAAAAATTGGAAGGGTGTTTATATGAATAACGTTTAGGTATTACATATTAAGATTGGGTAGTAGGGCAGCCACAGGAGGACGCGTAAAAAGGAGATATGAAACACTGTTTCAAATACAAGCGATGCACACCAACCGGTTTTAAGTTCGCATTGTTTAATTGCTGGGCTGGTTGTTTAGATCTCTAGGTAGGTAGGATAGGTGAGGCGCACGTCTCGGTTGAGCGGCGTGTTCGTTAGTCCCGCTTGTTCATATATGTGTGCATGTCTCAGGTACACGCTCCTGGCCAGTTAGTGGGTAACGATCTTCCGTTGTCGGGGTCCACACTCGTTGAGACACAAGGTCGAGTGGAATTCACGAGCGCTGTGACAAAGCCCGGCACTTACCGATTGTCGCTGTCTGGGTCCGGAACTGGTATGATCCATATTGGAGCTGCTCTAACTTGACACCGCATGCTGGTTTCAGTTCACGCGGTTAGATGACTGCCGGTGTTGACTGGCTGGGGTGCTGATCACGGCAGGGCGACGCAGGTGACCGAGAAAATTAGCCGATGCGGTCGGCTAGTTGACGATGTAAACACGGAACAGCAGCTAACAGCTGCAAAAGTTGCTGCAACCAGCTAACGGAATGTCAGAAAATGATGGTAAATAGCTTTCTAGCTAGCCACTGGATAGAGCTGATAATCCCGAGTCTAATGGTTGAAACTTGATTGATGTGCGATGAAATGGATACGGAAAATTCGCTACAAGGCGGAGCACATAGTGATTGAAAAAGTTTTGCAGTTTTCGCAAAAACCATTTCGCACAAACTATCCTTCTAAACTTATTCCGCTGAGGGGAAAAGCACGCAAATGGGAACTAAATGGTATATAATGGTCTACGATCTGTTGAAATTGCACATAGAAAGCACGCAATGTGTCAGAGCTTCGGTTTTGCGTGCCGTGCAGCCATTGGTTTGCTTTCCCTAGGTCACCATGGTTGTACGGCAGCGAAGTATCGGTTCGAATGCTGTATGATGATGATGGTGTCTGGATTTTTTGGCATTGGCAGATGCTTCTTGCATATACGGCCTCATAATTATAGTCGTGCTCCTCAGCATTTATTATACTTGCTTCCTCCCATTAGAAAATCTCAAGCGCCTCCATATCTGATAACCATCACCTAGCCCCATTTTTCAAGTCGATTGGCACCGGCATGTCCGCAACTAAGAGGTGCTCAGGCCAGTACTAGGTGGCGCGAACCAGGTCAGTTCATTAGATAAGCAAATGTGTATGGTCGAGCCCTTCTCCCCACCGCTCACCTATAGGAGCTTATTTTGTTTACTGCGTCTAGAGTGACGGACGTGACTACAGGAAAGCTCGATGACTTGGAAACGGTATATGCGGTCTCTAGTCTAGGTCCTGTTGGTGGTCCGTTTCTTTCCACGCTTAATTCTTCGCGACCTCCTGCATTTGGCTGTAGACCTTCCAGGAGCATGTTCGCAGTCACTACTAGTGACATGCTTACTATCGTGTCCCAACCTGGCTACCCGTTTAAACTGTTTGGCATTACGTTTCCTATAAGGCAAGGTTGTTTGTGACGCGAATAAATTATACCCACAGGAGTTTTCTTTCACAGGTACCACGTTATGTTCTCATGATGACTGCTTTCTCACGGAGTTTATTGCTGAGATGTAGGAACCTTGGTCCAGATTATTTGCTTAGAGGACTCGGATTTTATTGTGGTTCCCACTTCTTCCCTCTTGTTTTTCATCACTGGGATAATTATGACTGTGTGAGGTGCGAGGTAAATGTACTGCTGTAGAGGTTGGTTATTATGATGGCTCTAATACATGTTTCACTTTTCAGCTCCAAACCAAATTCTTTTTTCATTTACCTAATGTTCATGGCCGAGAGCACGAATATCCTTATGGATGGAGCTCTTCGTATGCTGGTCAAGCCAGGAAGCAAGATGAGAAATCTGGTCCCGTTTGCTGTCGAAAAGTTCAAATCGAATGACTGCCAAAAGGTACGGCGGCTCGTGTTGCATTAGTACTGTACTTTTTCCTTTGTTTCCAACATCTACGGAAAAGTTACATTTAACTACCAGTTTGAATGTTCCAATCTCCGTTTGCTCCCACGTATCCCACAAGCTTTCATCTGTGTGTGTGAGGCGCTTCCTAGCTGCCCAGTCATTGGACACCGGAACTCCACCCCAGATGATTTGTACTTCCTTGAGTTTGAACTTGGTCTGTCTACATAACGTCCATTATATTATTCCTTTCCGAGGTGTATTGGCATTCGGATCCTAATCCTGACGATTGTCTTATGCCGTCCGACTAGATTTGAACCACTTGTTCCCACACACACACACACTGGCTGCCATTTGCTCGCCATCAAACATCGCTTAAGGTGCATAATCTGTGCTGCCTTCATCAACACAACCTGTTCACATAGCAATTTTTTGACTTTGTACGCTGATATCTATGGGTGTGTAGTTCGTTCGGTTAACCGCTCTCCTAGTTGTTGCGGGATTTTAGCCCAGATGTTACGTTTACTTGGCACGTCACAACTCCCTCACACTTTTCCTTCTTTTGACAGTTCTTTTGAGGCTTATATTTTTCACACTGAGTGGCCGCATACATTCCATAATCAATCATCAACTTGTGCTGATGGTTTGCCTCCCACGCAAACGATTCTCGCTGGTCGATCACTTCAGTCTGACTGAAAGCTACACCTCGACGTGGGGCGCCATGTGCGATGCATTGATTTGCAAGTCCTTGGTCCATTTCTGTCAGTTAACGATGGCGAGACTTCGACTGCTGCGTGCCGCCTTCGTTGATGGTGGGCCCGTGGATTCGTCCCCACAAAAGCTGAGAGGCCTTACTTGACATTTCACAGCCATGAATTCATTGGTGGCTTATCATTCGGTTTCTTACATCTAACCGCTAACATTCTTCCCGATTCCCTTTGCTTTTTTCCTAACCATTAATTTTATCCCCGGGTTATAGCATGGCAACTAGATCCACCTCACTTTAGTTCCAGTATCACAGTTCTCTGAGCTGAAGTGAAATGATTTCAGCTAGTTGGCTATGATCCAGGCTCCGCTGTGTGATAGATCTAAGTGTCATAGTTCTCTCCGTTTACTTACTAAGGGCTCCTAACAGTAGAATAGACCCAGACTTACTGGCATGTGCACCGGATAGGAGTCCGGAGAAGAAAATATCCAACCGACGAACGAAAAGATCAATGGCATGAAGCGTGTGAGCGTACGCCGTTGGTCGACTGTTTCGGGCTTCTGACTTATAATTTAAAGGTTACCAGTTCAAATCTGTGTAGGTGCGGACAGCTCCGCAACGTCCCTACTTTAGAAAAAGAAAAGAAGAAGAAGATAATGATGATGATGAAATGCTTCAGCAGTACGCCGGTACACAGTACCGTCTCTTCGCTGCCTCGCAACCACCACCGGTCGCACGTGGGCTAAGGATACTGCGAGAGTCGTTTTTCCCCTACGCAGACTCGAACCCGCGCCGCAAGATTACAAGACAGGCTCGTTACCTCTGGGCTACGGGCCGGCCCCTACTTTAGCATGCGAGTGATGGTGGTCGTGTGGCAGCGAAGCTTGGTACAATGTGCCAATGTACTGCTTGTGTCCTTTTCATTTTTCTAATCGCTAATGTTACCTAACCTGAGTTATTGCAAAATCTTGAGGCGCTTTTGCCAATCTCCGCCACCTATGGCGACCGCATGGCATTACTCTCGCTCTGTAGGGCAGCGTTTACAATGCAGCCGTCCGTTCAACCCTTCTGTACGGTTGCGCAACCTGGCCCATCAAGTCGATAGACTTAAAGTGGCTTGTTACGTTTGACCCTCGCCGCTTTCGCAGCATAGATGTCTGGTGTGAACGCCGCGTGAGCAATGAGCGTGTTCGGTGCCGTGTATTTGGCGCGGAAAAATCTAGTGAACTGCTCAGCACCGTTATATCACGCACCAGGCTCCGATGGCTAGTCCACATGTTGCAAATGCCAGCACACCGACTCCTGCATCGTGCGTTGTTTCATCTTCTTTCTGCCTTTGACGACTGCTGCTTAAGTGGGATCGCTCGTGTTTGGTGGCAACATGGAGTTCGCAGTGATGACATTGGACGTCGCATCTTAGGGAATACTAAAATCCCCCCTCAACCAACTGGTTTTGCTGCGCCAGTAGAGATGGCTCGGTCACGTCCTGCACATGGCGTCGCACTCTATTCGCTCGTTAAGGACCTGGCTAGAGGCGACCGCGTGGTGGTCAGCCTTCCACTTGGCGACAGCACATGGAATCGCTGACGTCACGTATATCCGTCATTGGACCCGTAAGTCTTCCAGGATGGGGACCCAAGGATGTAAAGTGCCAGTGGCCTAACACGCTTGAAGACATGGCCCACAACAAGAGTCACTGCGGGCAGAATAGCTGAACTGTGTTGCTCACCATCAACTACTGTGTCACGATGATTATGACAGTGACTCTGCTCCTTTTTTGTTGGCTCTGTGTCTACTTACTAGACTGTTGAGGTTACTACTACTACTGCTGCTGCTTGAAGAGGGGTGATTAAGCGATGAGTCTGTCAAAAGGAATGAATTCACTCACTCCAAGTGGCCATCGGTTGGTATTTCCCGAATACCGGGCTGTGGACGGAAGGACGATGAACACATTTGCTTGGATCCACTAGCTGAAGTGGCTAGGAGCAGACCACAGTGGCGTTTGTGATGTGTCTCTTTGTCCCTCCACTTTGGCTTCCCTCTCCAACAACGATCTCAAACCCTATGCATAATTTGACGTTTAGCATTGTCTTGCTTTCTATCGCTTTTTTAACCTATCCTGTTTAATTTCTTATCTTTTATATATTATGGCACATTATCTGTTTGTTTCTCACCCTCAGCCAACATGTATTGGTGATGTTGATGACCTACCCTTAGGATCCACTTCAGCGAGACATCCCGCACCACTCCAATCTTGTCTTGACGTTTTCCTATGATTAATGTATAAGAGACACGGTGCTGGAGAACATGGCACACTAGGGTAGGCGATTGGCAGGCCTAAGGGTATCAAGAAACCAGCTTTGGTCACTCAAATGCACAAGGCTTTAGTGATTCACTCGAGAGTTTGTTCTCAGGCTGTGACCCACGAATTGCCACATCGCTACATCTGTGCTCCCATCAAGCACAAGCGATACTATTCACGGACGTCGTTAATCTAATTTAGCTTGTCTCTCTTAACGTCTTCGACGCATATTTGTCATGTTGCTGGTCTACGTACTACCGTCGGACACAGTACAATGTTGTGCACCCTAACGTTGACTGATTGCTCTATGTAGTACTGTATCCATAAGTGCCTGTTTTCTTTGAGGAACCACTCGAACCATAGCGCCGCGATCACTGTGGCCTCTTCTGTGCTACAGCCACATATAAAAGCCAATCGATTGATCACCGGACGGTTGTCTGAGAACTGCGTATTTCCACAGTTTCTTGCTCACTGCCGAGTGTTCGTTTTCAGTCGGTTTCAGAACAAACAACTTGTAGCTCATCGTACAGCCTTTGTTTCTCGTCTATGACCTATGCAGTGGATTCAGTTGTCTTTACAGAATTTGCCGAATAATTGCTAGCGGTGTAGTAATAATGTCAATGGGAATGGGAACGAATTGAAATCCTCGGACTAGATAGTTGCGAGTTAGGAATAGGTGAACGAATGTAAAGCGCTATGTACGCTAACGTGTCTGACTGCTAATGACGTGTCTAATCCAGGAAAAGGGCGACAAGTATCTTCAGTCTTTGCATCCCGTTGATAACTTCGCGGACACTTTATTCATGCTTTTGTTCGCGAACTGCTGCATCTCTTTCTTCAAAATAAATAAATGCCAACCCTACTGTGTGTACACAACCGAGTGTTGATCTCGGAGAGTACAATCGAGTGCAGCACAAGAGTAATAGTGACGGATGGATGAGTAGAAGGGACGTAAGTTGGAAGAAAAGTGTTCAGCACAATTAATCAGTTGGCTCCTTTTTGTGATTGGAGATTTTGATGTGAAGCCCCATTGTTTCACTACCAACTGTCTTTGGCGTGGAGCATTTGGAAGAGGGGCGATATACCCACAGGGGCTCCTCAATTTCTTGGACTTCAGCATCCGCCAAGTCTCTGTGCTAGTCATTGTGCTACCCTATACCTCGCACCTGATAGCACGCATGATTGCACCATGCATGTTGTTCACAGATGTCTTCATGAGTAAACTGGGGAACAGTCGATTAGATGAATTTGTCAACAACCCGAAACACCATAGCCGATGTGTGAACAGTATGTTGTGTCGCGGACAAACGAGTGTGCATGGGAGGTCTGTTTGTCCAGTTCAATGCTGCATATAGCAACACAAATTTCACTGCCGATATTCAGAGCAATAACTACATGACCTCCGCAGATGTTCAGATCATCGGCACCTCGAATAGATCAGTGCAAAAGTTAGAAGGCAGGTGAACAACTCAGAGCAACTAGTACCACCGCCTTGTTACTTTCCTCCCTGTAAGTCATAAACAAATCTTCGTCCATTGTCTGACGGAATGAGCTGAGAGTTTATGCTCGAAGGATGCGTTTCCATACGAGGTAAGTTTCATCCGCAAAGTTTACAAATCGTATGGTTACCTGACTAATTCATCCGGAGGCACCTGGAGCTGCGAGTGCCTTAGGTCAGACTGACTTCCATAGTCTCGAATTTGAGGCGTTTCACGCCACACTCCTGGACTACTGCACTACGGGTTCCCAAAACAACCCGCACTTTAATTCATGACGATTTACACTTGCGAATCATTCTGCTATGTTGCGATGTCTAACTGTTTCTTTCTATTTCTTCTTTTAGGTGGTTTGGACTAGCGTAGGCGGAGCGACAGGGAAGACTGTCAGTTGTGCCGAGCAATTCAAACAGTTGGTAGCATCTGCGCAAACACCTTCCTCTAGCACAGACAGCCAGACCTTGTACCAGTTTGTCGATATTCGTTACGACAGGCGTCTTTGTGTTGATCCCGTCGCCTCCGTTCGATACTGCTTGGTAAGGTTAGTCGATTGGCTTTGCCGTTCTCTCCAAGTATTGATAATAATTTTTCTAACAGAAATTGACACTTATCCGTGACATTCTGTCCCACGAAATAAGTGTTCACTGCGCTGTTGCTTTGAGTGGGTCCTTTAATTTCATAATTTGATTGCCTAATTTATCACCACTCATTTTCACATCTCAACTATCACATGGGCTTGTGGATTACGAGATGCTGATGCCATTTACTGTGCGCATTGCACATAGATCCTCACCAACTAGTTAGAGCGGGACAAGTATCGAGCTAACGTGTTTCTTGTAATGTCGAGCTGGCAGCGACGGTTGCTCTGCGCTTAAAGTGCCTGTCTTTGTTCGATCTCTTTCATTGCTACACATCCGAAGCACGAGGATTGTGTGTTAGACTTTGGCAGGTAAAAAGCCACTTCATTTTCTCACCGGCTGTCTCCTGTTACTGGCACTTGTCGTAATTTTATTTCGTTTTAGTGACCCGACGTTTTATTGACACCATGATGTAAACATCATGTCTGAGCTTGTACCAAACTGTGCTTGTGAATCTTCTAATTCTTAACTCTGCGCTTGTGTGACTTCTCATAAAATGTTAACATTTTATAACAATCACTTACCATGCTTGCTTTGTGCGTACCGCCTCGCTCCTCAATCACCGTTTCACTTACCATCACACGTACTAACTACTCTCCTTAAAGCACATACTTCATAGGAGCGGCAATTTTCATCAACCTGGTTTGATGAAACCGCAGCACTTTGCCATTTTAGCCTCCTCACGGTAGTCCATCGATATACTTAAAACACACGGACGACACAGATCACCTGGGTAAGACCCATACTCTGTAAAAGCACTTCTGGATTAATTGAAACTTGCTTCGGCATGTGCTTTACGATTTCAACTTACAAGGTCCTGTTACAAGACTAAACAGAGATGCCATCAATCTTACTTGTGTCCGAGCAGTCGTGCAACCAGCCAGTTATGATATATAGGAGTGGAGCTATTACCGACTCAATTCGTGTCGCCAGGACGATGTCTTCTTACACGCGTTGTGCTTGGCAGTTTTTTGCGCAGACAGAAAGTTGCGAACGCTCATCTTCATCATTAACTACGGGAACAACATATGACTCATTGGCCTTGTTGTAATCGTGTCCGACTCGCCTATGCACATCATTCCCAAAGGTAGAATCACTGACATTCAGGCCAACTGTTTGTTGCCTGTTTGTGGCACTATCTGCCTTAAACCTTGCGCCAGAATGAGACCTTTTTACTCAGAAATCTACCTACTACGATCTCTGGGACCATCTGTTGATCTCCAGGAATTGCCCGCTGAATTCACCGTCACAAGTAGAATTCGTCACTGCTGCTATATTTTTTTCTTTCTATTAACCGTCCTGATCGCAGGGACCACCACGATTATGCATCCTCCGTTTCTTCTAGCTAGAAAGTTCTGCCGCGTGACCAACTGACAAACTTAGAGTAGGCATAAGGTTTTCGATGCTTCTGTGGTTCGGATCCAAGTGCTGATGGATGACCTGATGCAAACCACTCTCTGCACGTTGACGCACGTGCCTCGCGTTTTCAAGTGACAGCTTACTGTCGTTCTAACTTGTCATGTCACCTAATTTCATTATCACTGAACACGCAACGGAAGTGACGTATCAGTTCCCTGGTCACTTTGGTGATCGAGTCAACTACAGAGTTACTACATACATGGTAAAAGTGCTTCTTTTTATTTTGACGCGTTAATCATTTCCTTTGATTGGATGGAAGAGACTTGTATAGCACTCCAGCGTGGCTTATGTTATTTTATGGATCGGAGCTATGGCCGCTTCGTATTCAAAACATCTAGTGACTGGTAAACTTAGCACGCTTCACATTGAACAGAAGCGCCATGTGGGCAACACCAGAGTTTTTCGATGTATTACAACAGACTGATTTCTCGCTTTGGTTAAGCCAATTCGATTACACGCTTAGCAAATGGTTTATCTTAGTTTCTGTTGTTTTCGGATTCTCTATCTATTTGACTGTGCTCAGGCTGTACAACAGATAACATGATACCAAGGTATGAAAGACTTGACCGTTACGCTTGGCTGTGCAGCGGAGTATCTCGAGATCCACCGCACCATTGGTTAGAAGCCTTATCCGACTTGCAGCAGTTGCTAGGTCAATAATACCCTTGCGTCCGATCTCCCGCGCCTGCAGTCAACCTATGCGTCGAATGCTTAAAATCTGTTCTTTATCACTTTTTCCTTATTTTTGTGTCATCATTAACATTTGCGCTTTCCACCTAAATTTCCTTCCTTTTAGTCTTTTCAAATTACATTGACTCATACCATTCGAGTCCACTGCACATGTGTCCTCGGATCACAGTCGAACACACATTAAAATGCAGTCAGTCGAAAAATGTGTTGACTTTGTGAAATGTGAACAGCAGTCGTGAACAATGGGCTTAATACCAGCGATACCGACATTCTGGTTGCGTAATGTTCGCAAGCGTCTTCAACCTGTTCCAACTCGGTTTTTGGCCAGTCTTTTCGCAGTTGTTTGGAACATACTAGATGTGTGTCCCAGCATACTCCATGTGACTTTTGACTGATCACATGCAAATGGAGTGTCGCCCGCCCGAAAATCCTGCGCTTCACTACCTGTTTCGACCTTGTTTTATCTCATCAGAGAGATCTAACAGACCTCTAACTAGGCTGATCGTCTTTAACTTGCACGCCGTTACGTTTAGCATCTCCAGATCTTCCGTTCACATCGGAATTTTACCTGAATTTAGATGAGTCTAAATGGGCGTTTTTGTGATGCATTGTAGGGACAGAACAACTGTTTTGTTGTGTGTATTTTTTTATTCACATATTAATTTTTTCGACTATCGCTAGTGGAGTTCGTGTCAAAGTTCACTGTTATACTTAATCTCACCGATGTCAGGCTCAAAAAACCCCCATAGTGTCCTTTGTTGCCATACTACTCACCAAAGGAAAACTTGTCTGCTGTGATCCAATTGTTAAACCCTCTACTGTTCCATTTTACGCCGTCTCCTAGTTTCTAGTAAAGGTATTCACTTTTTGTTTCATCTGCATGTTGTTTTCCACTTGTTTGGGTGCGCTTTTATACGGCCTTCTTCGTACCCTGATCTCTAGCTGACTATTGTAGCTATTGACAAAATGCACACTTTCGTCTCACTGTCTGCGCCATTTATCTCGCCCTCCTCCTGGGTTATGTGCACATTACTGCGTTCATTCAGCATCAACTGTCCCACCACCTTTGTTACCGGCTATCGCATTGCTGCTTCCGCTCGTTTTTGGCGAGTCAATGGAGCGATTCTGATTACCCTTCTCTCCACTTCAGTTGTGTTTCTCCTGCTTCTCTTATTTTACAGGAAGAACCGTGTATCAGTATTTACATTTCGAAGACGCCTCTACCGCAAGGTGGTCCCGTCTCACTATCCCTAACGAGCTCATCATTTTTGGAGTCTATAAGTGCGGCTAGCTCTGCGGAAACCTTAGTAAAACCTCCAACTCGCCGCTGCCTGGCGCACAAGAAAAGGCGCAAAAGGGATCGGACCAACGACATGCCGAGGACGAACCCACAAACCAGCGATCAGGAGTCTCTGATTGCCGGCGATCCGTTGGACGAATCTCCTCTTTCATCTTTTGTATCGGAGTCCCCAAGGCTTGCACCTGCTTTGCAGTTCGTATCAGCCAGCATCAATGAATCAATGCACAAGAATCGAAAGCGAAAACGTTGAACGCGCTTTCCTTAATTGTCTACCTCTCACGTCATTCATCTTCAGTCTGCTGCCTCGCAGATCAATTGCTTCCTTTTATAAGAATGCACTTATCTATATTTCGATTGTATTGGATTCAAATTGCAATGTACATCTCATGTGGAGAGCGTTTTGTTGGTTTTATGTTGCGGTGTACAACTGAAGTCCACTTTCGATCAAGCCACTTTGTCCGTTGCTACACGCTGGATCACCAGTTTTAGCGCTTTTTATTACAGCCTCTTCTATCCATGGGGCCACTCGGAATGCGGGCTTCACTGGATTGTCCCACTTTAATTTGAGATCACGGCTTGGAAGCTCTCCGTTTGTGATTGGATACGTCTGATCCGTATGAACGGGGCTCAAAATGTATGCCCCAGCGTCGTATGCTCGTTGTCCCGATGAAATGTGGGCTCCGTATTCCTTGTTCGTGGGCAATGTAGTGTTCCCTTCTCTCAGTAGAATTATTCGCTTCTGGAGCAGCTCGACCTGGGGATAAGTGAAATTCAACTGATTACTTAACATTGACATGAGCACTCAAATCCAATTTCAGTTACGATCATGCTTTCGGATTTCATTATCTAACTGTAACTTGGGTTCAATGCCATTCGCACTCGTTGTTGCGACACACTAACCCACATATACCCCCATGGACCGACTGTACCGAGGCCACATTTTCACTGAGCCATGCGCCGCGTTTCGTAATGCTGTAAAGCCTTGTCTTGCCGGCCTCTCGCTTACACCTCGTCGTCAGTTATCTCCGTCGCTGCAACGATATTACCCAGTCGAAGCAAGGGCTTCCTGGTGTTTGTTTACATGCTCATTTCAATCAAACTACACCAGCAACGCTCAGTGTTCAACTTCTAACCGGTTTGCCATGCGGAGATCTGTGACCGCTACTGATCGGTTCGTCAACCACTACGTCCTTCATAGTACTCCCATTCTCCACTACCTATAATTGTTATAGTCCAAAGGAGGACGAGCCCGGTCGTGCAGTGCTGGGGGTAAACAGCACCACAAATTCCCTTAGTTCGCGTGTACCGCTGCGGCATTTTTTGTTACTTTTTCTTTGGCACCACCCCCACCCACATTAGTCACGTACCCCAGTTTCTCACACACGCGGCAAGCCATTTTGAGACACCGTGGGTTCTAAGATCGTGAGAGTCTGTGGAGGCTTTTCTCTCTTCTGTTAATTGAAATTGGTTGGACCCGAAATGCTCATCTTCCTGGCTACCTAACCGTAGAGGTACTACGAACCTCTTCATAGCGTAACTGGCATTTCCCCCTTCTTACAAATGGCGCCCCGTTATCTCATGTCTGTGGTCCGCGTTGCTTCGAGTAACACGATACTCACAGCCAGGTTACTATCGGATAGTCACGTTTGAAGGATCAAGTACAACTGGTTGTCATATGTCGCAGTCCTGAATTTGAAAGTTTACGAGTCGAGTTAACCGCTAACGGCGTTTCTGGCAGACCGTGTGATTTGTTGGTTATCTCTCCTCTCTGACACTATCAGTCCGCTTCTTGTCTTTAGAAGTTGCTCCACTTTCTACTTATATACAAAGCCGCTGTTGCGGTGTCACATGGCGTACGGTTTCAGCGTGTCTCATCTTACGCTTTCCCCCATTCATTTCAACAGCCGCTATCGCTATATCACACCGTGCTTGTGCACTCCGTCGTTGCCGATTCGGCGGGATGATCCACCGAGAATACTCTGTTCCTATCACCGTCGACTGATCTCTCAAATGCTCTCATGGCTATTGACCACTGAGTAGAGTCATCTAGTTGCAAATGCCTTAACTGATAACACTGCGATCCTTGCAACTCCACCTGAACAGTCCAGGCGTAGGCGAAGATGGCCTTCGGTACGTTATTGGAAAAATCATTCTAAGCTCATTCCTAACATCATGCTGACCGAAATGTCAGGTTACCCTCAAAGTTTGTTGTGCTTCGGCTTCAGTGTAACCCTCATTTCTGATCGCACAGTGAGTAGCTTAAATGCCAAAATGATTAGCATCCTATGCTCAGAAAACATCAGTACTTTAGGATCAGCTAAGAGATGGTCGGTGGCTGAGTGGTCTGTGCGCCTGGTTTGCAACCACAAGCTCACCGGTTCGAATCCGTGTAGGGGTGTGCGCCCTCGCGGTATACTCAGCCCGCGCGCGACTGGTGGTGGTCGCGTGGCAGCGAAGCGCCGTTAAGGCGCACAACTGACGAGTTATTTTTATTTTGGCAACTTAAATCTGAAGGATGGCCTGAACTTGACTCAACACGCATGGTTCTTGAATTCATACTGGCCTACGAGCCCCATCTGCCTCTTACATTAACACCGATCTTTATGATATCGATGTTGTCCGGACCACACATATCGGATGCTTTCATCGCGAGCTGTTCATCTCTGGACCAATAGACCAGTCAAACATGTGTATGTCCGTAAACTGAGCAGTCATACGGAGTTCCATTTGTTGGTGATTCTCAGTGAAACGTCACTTTTCCAATGCACTGGGGCCTCGCATCTTCGTTTCTGATGCAACAGGGAGGTCCCATCTCTATTACGCAGGTACTCCATTATCACCAAATGATGCTAGTCGTAAGAATGGGTTGCACATATCATGGGAAAGCTGCGTGGCATACTTCCACCAATTTACTCATTGGAAGGTAAGCAGTGTCCTCACTCGTAGGACACTTCCGATCGCATGCGCCTTGATGAACTGATCGATCAGAGTAGCTGCACATCGTAAGCGATGAAGCATTCTAAACCTATGTAGTTCAATGTCATTCTCATAATAATAATAAATGGTATATTCCTCGGCGATGTGAGGCACAGTCTAACTATATGATCTGATCAATGCTCGTACATCTATCCACTAGGTCTGAAGTTCGCCACGTTTTTCTCCATGTGTTCTGTCCAAAAACTGCCACACGCTCCTCATTTTTGCGCAGGACGATCCGACGTATGTGACCTACTCAACCTATAGCCATTCGATTCCTCCGCAAGGCATTAATATTCTAAAACAAAGAATACTACCTTACCTGTAATCTCAGTGCTTCAATGGTTGCCTCCATGTGGCTCTGAACCTCGATTGGTAGGTGTTTTGTCTCCATTGGCTGATTTTCTTGCAACTTTTCCATTGCGTTTGCCCACAACTTCTCACGTTGTCGTAGCGAATTGGCTGCAGCCTTCTCTCGTGCTCGAGCCTGGGCCAATTTTTCGTTTAATACCTGCGTTGAATGAGTGGAGATTGATTTTTAGTCTTTGGGGTTCAGCTCGAGTTTACGAATGACCTCTTTAGCGATCGCTTATTCATCTTGTATCGATAGCTCGCTTGCTATCACCTTAAAGGCGCATACGCTTCCTCGAGAACATCTAGGTTTACATAGATTATTGCGAAAAGGGGATTCCCAGATCTGCGGTACCTTCTTTGGAACCTTGGACTCTTAACTATCGTACTTGCAACAACTTTGTGATCTCACTATCTTCCATCTTCTGACCTATATTACAATTGGACTGGCATTGTTGATGTTTGCATACTTCGGTTGCTGTTCTGCTGGTCAACTACATGAGCTCTGAGTTCTTCGAATGATGCTTCCCTTAACATACACATTTTAGATGCCACTCATTCGTGGCTACTCATCTGTAAAAGTAGTAAAGGGCGAGGCAAAGTTGTCTCTTTGTATCCCGATGAATTTGAAGTGGTAATCACTTATTTAAATGCTCTTTGAGCAACCAAGTCCATGTAGTGATGTCGGTAACCGGTCCTCGATGTTGCACGATGCCTAGGAATTCGATCATCCCAGCTACACAATTCAAGTATACACTGCAGCCAGAGACTACGCGCCCGTCTCGTTACTTTATTTGATCCCTAATAGCAATTAACCTGCCGGAAATTGTGTGGGAACTTTAGTTAAACAGCTTGTAACGGTACTTGTAATGACCTAAAGTGCTGGTGACTCGAGTTAACTGTCCATTTGTTGAATTGTTCGCCGGACTGGGAATTTTGATTGCATCCCCATTCCAACCACTCATTCAGTATGATCTCAGGTGAATTGAAAGTCGCTGTTAGAAGCCAGATACTCCAGTACCTGGACAATAAATGTGGCATTCGACTTCAACTTAAGCAGGCAACTTTACTTATTACGCCATTCCAAGTGCGTGTATCCCACTTACATCGCAACAATATTATTGCGACCAGTAGTTGTAGCTTGATTTTCAAGAGCATCCAATCATTCCATGGCCGCACACCCGCTGCTGCTCGTCGCATCGTTAATTCGGTTGAATTATTCAGTATCATCTATAAAACGACAGTCGGTCGAAATGCATTTCCATGTTCGTACTGGAAATCGCCATTCCATCGCGATCCGCCTGTGTGTCGTCTAAAGTTACCAGCATGTAAAACAACGAACGAAACAAATTTATCAACACCAGAATCATATGTAACAGCCTGAGTGGTAGATTCTTGGATCTTGCAACTATCAGTATCCGTACCCAAACCGCCGACTCCTTACTGCTGATGACATCACTTCGACTGGCAACCAGTCGTTTGTAATCAAGGTGCCCAGATCATCTAACAACTCAACAGATAGTAGCGACGCCAAGGACCAATCGGGGGTAAGCATCGGTGGTCAAACAGAGTCGATCAGTTAATTTAACGAACAGTGGCCAAGTCTCTGACCTTGGCCGCACCGCTGCATTGTGAACTATTCTCCCAGAATAGTATAGGATTTGAGTGATATAAAATTTCATCACGCCTAGGCTCAGTAAAATAGCCGCCACACACCCAGAAAAGCACTGTGCGGTCGTTCCATCCTTTCGGAAATCAGCATTCCACATCCCATCTGACTAGTGAGGGAGAGCTGGAACCCGTAACTCGACTGTTGCCGGTCTGTGGTTGAGACTACTGAGCTACGGGGGACGACATGAGTATTACTAAATATGATTTAGCGTCCCTTACTATCCACTGATTCGCACGTTACTATCATGTAGAGGGCAGGATATCCACCTCACCATGCAACGAACGTACCGAACTTTAGCTTCTAATTGATTTATGACATTATAAACAGTTGGGTCTGCGTCTTGATTACGGGTAGTATTAGGAGATTTGAATGGTATGAGTGGAAGTTTTTCACATCTAGACTTAGTCAGGCAGGCCGTTTTTATATGTTACTATAGAGTTGAAAAATCACGCGAATTTTAACAGGGCGTTTGGTAACCTTCTCGGTGTTGCAGTGTTCACAAGACAACAGCTACCTAGATAAGTAAGCAGACCGACTAATTCGAGCGGTTCTTCGGCTTAGTGAGAACAAGTGGTGAGTTACCCTAGTTCTGTATTAGCACTTCGGAAATTTATGGAGCGATCGAAACCACGAATTGCGTAGCACTAGGCGATAGCCTAATCGGTAGAAGTTGCTAAGCGACTGATTGCTATCTAAAACGGGTTGCCTCTTTCGTTTATTGTTAGTTTGACAGTTGGTCACCGAAGACATCTAACCCGGAGAATCGGGAAAAGGCATCGTGGAGTCACTCATGATCACTTCGGTTGCAGTTGAAGTAATGGAGATAACCTGACGTTGAGAACTCAGGGTATAGTTTCTCGTAAATCCTTACACATTCCTATGTGTCATGGTGTAGGGCTTTCAGACTAGGTAGAAACACCTCCCGTAAAGCTGAACATCTGCAAACAGGCCTGATCAACTGCACCAAATGCAACCTTCTATTTTGAGGCACAGTAATATCGTGCGCTCTCTGTGTGATGATGACGAATCACCTGACCAAGAATGAAAATGTAACTTGTACACTATCTGCTTCGTCTCTCACTATGACTGAAGAGTTGCGGATGCATGATGTGCCTGAGTAGTTAGGTGGCAACAGTAATGGAACTGGTACCACGGTACTCTTGAATTCGATGCCTTGTTTCTAGTAGTTAATATTCTGTCCCGATTCATTTCACTTACTCCTTCCTTAACCTACTTCTCTTTGTGTCCTCTGTTTTTAACTGTTTTTTAACTACTGTTACCTATCCACATTCTGGTGATGCGAGCTATGACAACTGGATCCAGTGCACTTTGATACCCGGATCATAGTTGTTTAACTGAACTGTACGGGACCACGACACTGATCGCAAGAGGATATTTGTACCCTTTTGTAATTGGAAACTATATTTGACAACCGCCAGCTAGTGTCGAACAGCGCAACCTAGAAAGTCATCAGTCTGATGTTGTTGTCCTCCAGCAACGATGATCACATTTCATCTCTACCAGGCGCCTTGCTAAACATCGACAGTACCATCTCATGTTGAGTTTCATCGATGTTCCAAGTGAACACGAGCGACATAACTAAAAATTCCTACACATTTAGTTAGTATTCTGCTTGACACGCGATTAAGACGAATCTGTAGTCGAAATCCACATGTTTACCACTGCGGGTGGATTCTTGGTAGCGCTCCCAGCTAGATCGCACTAGCACAATATGCGACTCGTCAGATCTGGAAACAACTGGACAAAGAGGAAAGGAACACGGTGAAGAATTGCCTGTACGCGACACCGCACAGCCCTTACTGGCTTTCATCTCAGTCACATGTACAGTGACCGTGTCCGCCTGTTGATGCCATACGGAAGAAAGGAAAGATAGGCATCAGCAGCACACCGTACCGGATCTTCGATGCCCCGCGACCACAGTCAATCGCGCTCGAGCTGTGGATACTGCGAAGTGCCCACACCTACGCGGGTTTGAATCGGTGGCTTTTGAAGTACAGGGCATCCACTGCAATGTGCCGATCGGTTGCCGGCCACTGCCACCGTGTGTCTTCATATAACAATAGTCTTAATTCTTCACGCGTCTCACCGTAGCATCGCGTGTCGTAGACGCCTCCAGTTTCATTGTAACCAACGTTGTAGTCAATTTTTGATCCGGTAACGTGTGCGACTCGTAGTTCCTATTTTTATCATGAAACAAGCGTTCTACCGCAGAAATCCTATTAGTCTTGCTGCATTTAAAACCTTCTGCTACTGTGTCCTACCCGCTAGTGATCTGATGGGCTGACTTTCTTGCCAGTACAATTAGAAAGTACTCACCGAGCTAAAGTACACCTGGTAACCTTGCTGCGAGCTTGAACATACTCAGACCCTGCTGTCAGCCAACAACAGTAGTACATAAGTGCATCTGCAACTTTAAACGTTCGTATTTTGACTGAGCTACTGCAAAGATGTCTAAGTCTATACAGAGCAACGATAAACAGTGTTCCCTGAGACGCCGTTAACGTCGGAAACCCTGCATCAATTATCTCGGTTCTCTCTTGTATAAACACGTTCCGCGAGCTAAACAAGTCCCACAGTTGTGCAGAAATCAGGTTGTAACGCCATTAGCACCAAAGTGTGTAGCGCTTGGTTGCATGCATACGCTGTCAGATTGTTTACCAGCCGTCGTACATAAGCACTTCCTTACAGGAATTCACGCTTGTTGAATGCGTTACGAATTCCTTATGGGATACTTCCACGCCTTTGAGAAAAGCAAGTATCAGGCGGCTGTATGCATCGGTAATGCTCTTTACCCCGAGATTGGTGTTTCCACCCACCCCACCCCCTATTGTCTCAACATCTAGTTGACTTTGAGCCTGCTATAGAGCCACTGAGATCTGAAGTGACTGATAAACCATGGGTTCACTCTGAAAAATCAGCACTTCCTGTCTGCACTCAGGGTAGGGGCTGCTCTGCCCCTCATCGCTAATGTCTGTAGCATGGAGCACGAATGAACCGATTTTACTTAAACCTTGATTCCGCTTACTCGATTTAACTGTTGGTGATTAGATTCATACACATGACGCCAGTCTCTCCAGTGCAGATTGGCACGTCTGGGAGCTGTCACAGATGAGGGCAATGTCGTCTGCATACTCCAAGTCAAGAAGTCGTTCTCGGATTAGCTCTACACCTAAGTCTTGTCCTGTGAACGCGATTTCTATGACTTCGTCAATAGCGAAGTTGAAGAGGAAAGGTGACAATGGGCATCCTTGTCTTACACCGCTGGATATATTGAAGGGCGACGACAGCTTGCCGTAAGCCCTCATCCTGCCCGTGCTATGCGCGTATAATGCGCGGATAATATTTACATATTTCTCGGGCACACCTTTCCTGAGTAGACAGTCCCAAAGCGCACATCGATCAACCGAATCGAAGGCACTTTTGATGTCGAGGAACACGACTACGGTGGGTCGCCAATATGTGTGACGGTGCTCCAACAACTGACGCAAAGTGAAGATGTGGTCGATGCAGCCACGACCCCGACGAAACCCGGCTTGCTCCTCACGAATGTGGATTTCGCGAGTGCCAGTCAGTCTGTGAAGAATCACAGAGGCAAGTAATTTGGAGGCGATAGAGATCAGACTGAGTCCTCTATGGTTGCCGCATTCCGAACGCGAGCTTTCTTTGAAGATGGGAACAAATACGAAGCGGCTCCAGTCGATTGGGACAGTCTCCTGCTCCCACAGTTTCACTAGTAATTCGTGTAAATCATCAACAAGAGCAGGGCCCCCGAATTTGAAGAGGGCTGGATGAAGACCATCTGGTCCCACGGCTTTGTTCAACTTCAACAGTCCGATCTCACGTTTGACTTCTGAGCGAAACGGCAGATCCAAAGGGACAGTCCACGGAGCACGGCGATCACTGGCTACAAGAAGTACGTTTTAAGGAATAAGGAGCCATCCTCATTCCAGCCCCCAACCTGGAGGACCAGGAGGCTGAGTTTGTCTAGCCTCTAACCACTGACCAATCTGGTATGAGTGGCTCTGGAGGTGCAAAAATGCACCACTCAGCATAGCTCAACGGATCACTGATGCACACAAGCCATCGCACTACGATAAGGTTCAGCCTCATTGCGATGGCTTACCTGACATAAGTAACAATGAAACTCGATGCCCGGCGATCCCGGCCTTCTCACACTCCGCTGGAGACCCAGCTTATCTTCAGCCTAGCTCTTCGATTTAAATAAATAAATAAATAGTTTATTCTCGAATTTGTCGAGGTTCAAGGTTCGCATTTTGATGCAGACCGAATGAAAAAGATGTCTGGCCCCTGCTTTTGAGACACTATAGAAATGTTATATTTCAGAAACCAAATTGCATACTCTAACGCCATCATCAGAACGACCACTCCGGTATGTCCGGCCATCAGATACCACGCGTCTTTTCAGTGACCCAGAGGCTGCCGCTTTTTACCAGGCTAGTCTTAGGGTTGTTCTGAGTACCATGGCTGAGACCGCTCTGCTTGATTGGATTCCAGTCAGAGGTCTGCCATGTGCAGTCAGACTACGAGGTTCATTTAAGGTAATTAAACGTCAAGATGTTACACGTGCCTTATTTGTCGTCTCCGCCTACACTTCTACAGACTGCAGCTAGGGTGCAATTAAATGTTACTTTTCCAATAACTACATTACTTTCTGCGTTCCTCCAAACTAATTGAAATTGTCATTCTTACCGGAGATTTTAGCCCGCGAATGGGCCACATGCCACCAAGTGAGCACCATCTTGTGGGTTGTTTTGGTCTCCGTAGCAGTCAATGGAGACAGTCTACTGATTCTTTGTTCTGATCATCGCTTGTTTATTTCAAGCACCAGTTTTCGGCACTCGAATAGACAATCTGCTGTCTGAAGCCCGCCTTCTTAACGCAAAACTGGTCCCAGCTTGATCATATAGCAATAGTTACAGATAGCGAGGAAGCGTAACGGGCTGCCGATCGTACCGGCAAACTTGTCTGGACCCCAATCAAGCAGTGGTTCATGCTATGTTTAACATGTTTCGGAGAGTCGCCAAGGTGTACGCACTACTGACTGAACGTCACAAGTCTACAAAACCCCACTATCTTAGCCTGGTAACAAGCTTCTCTGTCAACACTGCTTGCCGCAGCTCGGCACAGCTTCTAACGATGACCTAAAGTTAAAATGGGCCCACATCGAAGATGCCTTAGTTTCTATCAGTATCGACAGTTGTGAAGTTGCTCGTCACCCGTCGAACAGCTGGATCTCCGCTATCTGCTTGTCGCTGATGGACAGACGCAGCTCGGTCCTGGCCGAGGCTAGTTATAATGAAGTACGTCGATCCCTAGGTCGAGAATCACGCAGAAGTCTACAAATGGACCGTGAAACCTGTTGGCGGAAACGTGCTAGAGAGACGGAACTTACCGCTCTCTGGTAATACCAGAGAACTTTCATCTAATCCGAGTCACCTAAGACAACCGAGCTGATGTAAGCGAAACAAGGATGTCTCCGTAACGACAAACGATGGTCTGAGTGGTGGGCTTACATTTGTGGATATTACATGGCGTGTAGATACTAGCCAATGCGTAGGTTCACATATAACGATTGTTCGTTAACAGGCTTAATCCAGGATCACGGGTCCATTTATGTCACATTCGTATCTCTCGGTGTCATTAGTTAGCCGGGCTACATGCAGCTGATGAAGGTCATGTGTCGAAGATGGACTATCATCGCTCATATGTGAATATGAAGTTTTCTTACGACGAACGTTAGACTGGAAATGAATTAACATCATCCATTTGCGAGTGAGGATATTTTTAATGCATAAATTCGGCTCAGGTGACATACCAACATGTCTTTTTGATGAATCTCCCGTAGTTGATCCATTTCTTCTCGGTGTTTACTAACCAGTGTTTCACGAGTGTGTTCGCTATGAAGCTGTGCTTCTTCTATGGTTGATTGCAGTTCGGCTATATGCTTCTGACTTTCCTCGAGTTTCTGGAATCCAAATGGTACAATATCTCTGATCGGCGCATCTAATTTTTCGGTAGCTTTGTTTCAAATTTAAACGTTACTGTACAACCGCTTCTAATTATTAATATCCGGAGCCTGTTGTAAAATTGTATGCTTGCTATAAGTGCATTTTTTGTAAACCATCGTTCGTTCGCTTTTAAAAGTGGGTGCGAACCAGTTCGTTTCGTATCCAGTTAAGGTATTTGCGTTCCTCTGTGGAAGTGCTCCACCGGTTTTCTCTATTAGTGCATTCATCTCCTTTGGCTTGTCTAAAGGGCCTAAAAAGTTGTGTCTCGAGGGACCAGAAATATCTTGAAGGTGGAAACAGGAAATATTCGTATCATAAACTGTTTGCAGTAGACCACCGAAGTGCATTAGCACCCTCCACCTAGCCACAGCACCAGAGACTTTTATGTACAAGAATTGAATGGAAAATTACTAGTATGGTACCGGTGCCATGCCATCCGTCTCGAGTCTTGAGACGAGAGCATAGACTAAGGAACTTTGGCCCACACAAGCAAGTGCCGACGTACCTCTGAAGTGCAGTCACTCAGTCACCCATTGAGATTCCCGCTAACCAGGCACGTTGAAGTTGCGAAAGAAAAGTATATTCTTCACATTTCCATCATCGAATTTTCACCACGCAATCTCACTAAACTGCAATCCAGTACTTTTTACCCTGTTATAACAGGAGAATGCATGCACAAAGTAATTCGCTCGCATATGAATTAGCCGTGCAAGGGTGTGATCACCCCTGTGCAAAATGATTTCCACCATGTATGGACAGTTTCCCTCATAGGAGGCATATCTTTCATTGTTATTACTTTATTATCGTTACCGATAATAACACTGCTATCGGTCTTTTCGTTTCTCCTTTTCATATTCCGGTCCCACTGCACTTGTATCTCGACAGAGAGGCTAGTCGAACGGCTAGGACAGGCGTACGCTGCATAGGATGCCGGTCCAACGGCCACCACAGTCCATTACGACATATTGGTTTCCTTTTTCGCCTCACGTAACCGTGCAAATCACTCGGCAGCCACGGACTCTACACCACTCCATGATAAAAACAGAGGGGACTCCAGTCATGCTAGATCAATACCATGGGTCTATGTATCCGCAACTATTTACCCACTAGCAGATTGACCTGAACGGAATATGATGTATTGCTACACACCCTTAGCAAATCTGTAAGGCAAGGAGCGACACCTTGATGCATTTCCCATCCATCTTAGCCTTAGTGGAATGGAAGATAATATCACTAACCTCATGGTAAAAGTCCGAGACGCTTTTGCCCATCTCCGTCACCTGTGGCGCCGGCGCGACATCACACTCGCCCTGAAGGGCAGAGTCTACACTACAGCCGTCCGTTAAACCCCCTTGTACAGTTATGCAACCTGGCCCATCAAGTCGACAGACAAAAAGTGGCTAGCTACGTTCGACCATCGCTACCTTCGCAGCTTACCTCATGTCTGGTGTGAACACTGTTGATCAATGACCGTATTCAACGTCGTGTATTTGGTGCAAGAAGGGCGATTGAGTCACTCAGCACCGTTATACTACACACCAGGCTCCTATGTCTGGGCCACGTGTTGCGCACGCCAGCACACCGACCCCCGCATCCTGCGTTGTTTACGAGCCGGGGGTACGGATGGAAGAAGAGGAGCGGAGGCCAAGCGATGACATGGTCAAAAGGAATGAAGTCCCTCATTTCGAACTTGGCGACGGTTGGTGTCTCCCGACTGCCGGGCTGGGGTCCGAAGGCCCATGAACACCTTTGGCTGGATACACTAGTTGACACGGCCAACAGCCGACCTCAGTGGCGTTTGTGTTGTGTTTCTTTTCCCCACACCATCACGCTTAGCCTCCATTTCCCAACGAGGACCTCTGTCTTGAATCGTAATATATTACTAAGAAGTTTGCTGTCTGTCTTTTTATATTCTATAATGCTTACTATGTTGCTTTTTCGTTTACCTTATTTTTTGTATTGCGGAACACTAGTTGAAGCTTATTTCTTGCCTTTAGCCAATGTGCAATGATGGTGGGGCCCAGATATCTGACAAAACCAGGTAGGTTCAGATAACCTGCCTATTTGTACATTAGCCTAACAGACCCCGCACTTGTCGCAAGCGCAGGCAGTGGTTCTTTCTCTTCTATCGTTGCTCTCCTTACCGGTCTCAGGCAATGCGGTTACTCGAGAGTGCACCGGACAGTCACCACGGCGTGGTGTTGATTCTCAGTGCTAGTTATCTGTTTCTGTAAAGGACACAATGACGAAAGTGCCAGCGCAGTGCTCTCGAGTGCATGCACCACCGAAAGGTTACTAGTCAAGCTTATCACTGAAATCAATGTACATTATGATCTCCTTTACACCAAGACGATTTAACGCATGCAATTCAGTCCCACGACGCACATCCCGAGTTACTTGGTGGCAGTTGAATCACTCACGCGTCGCGCTTTTTACCACTTACATGGTCCGTACGGATTACTTCGATCAACGGCTGATCAAGCGCTACTTCAAGATAGGGTTCTTGAAACTATCCTACGGAAAGCCCCAGTATGAAGCCAACGCGCATCCACAAAGATGTTGATTGCGAGCCTCTTCCAGAGCAACCGCGTACCACAATTGCATGAACACGCCTGTGCTTGATCGTTGGTTTATCTAATCCGCAGTTAGCGCACGATCAGTGCAGCATCGTCTCTGTCGAGGCTCCACATTACGAAGTTTTGAACTTCGTTTGTGGCCATGTGACGCAATGGTCCTAACACCAGGAGCACAGTCACTGTCAAGCTAGTTCCTCACCATAGCGTATGGTTACCGCCTTACTATTCGCTAATAATGGTTGGCTGTCCACCACTAGTTTTTGAGTATCTATTTCTACTTTGGTGGGACACTACGAATGACATCTCCGCCAGACTTGCACATTTTAATTTGCAAATCTGTTTTCTCACTACATTCAACCTTTTACTTCATGTACTTTCGGTATATTAGCGGCTCTGGGCTTCAGAAATTAATGTCTGCCCCTGATCATTGCGATCAGTTGCTTGTGCCCATTGACCGTAACCGTGGGTACTTCAAACCACTGCTTGCTTACTACATCTGTATGTCAGAACTCTTCACTATGACTGCAAGTTGAGAGTATGCAAAGTAAGGTTTATTCGATGCTTCAACATATTCATGCTTTAGAAGTTCAGTTCGTTTTTTGTGGCACTTGAAAACGGGATGGGTTTCCGAATTTAATTTCAATGTATACCATTTTCACTTTAAATTGGACATTTTTCAAACCACATTGGACATTTTGCAAACCAAAGTGGACATTTTGCAAACCACATTGAACATTTTGCAAACCAGACTGGACATTTTGCAAACCAAATTGGACGTTTTGCAAACCAAATTGGACATTTTGCAAAACAAATTGGACATGTTGCAATCTAAGTAGCAACTCGCCAATTTGTTGGTAGGAAACGAGCAGTAAGACTGCTGAATGATGTTCAACATATACATTGTGATGACGCTAATACACCGGCATTGTGTAAGCCAGACAACCCTTCGTCAACTGATCTTTGCTATGGTTACTGCCTTATTTTTTGTTAATACACCATTTCAATTTCAAAATGTGCGTTTTCAATATTAACAGTTGGCTTAGCGTGTAAGAGCAGGACGGTCACCGAGAATTCGAGAGCGTATGCCTGTCGGCTAGCGATTGTCGTGGCACTGTTGACTCGGTCGAGCTCGTAATGACACTTTTTGAAAGTTATCTTTAGTCTTCTGAGGGCGTTGAAGACAGAGGATACTGATAGGTTTATCCCATTCTCTCTCAGGCGCATCTGCAGCTTCACCAACGTGTCCTCAGAGTGCCGTTCAACCGCTTCTTCGACGCGCCGCAATACATTGGGAGTCAGCTTCTCCCTATTGTTTCCACCGCAGGTGCGCTGTGCATTTGAGCCTTCTCGCTTGTAGGCATTAATGATGTTCCTTGCCGTACTCGCGTTAACACCGGCGACTTCAGCGGCTTCCCGAGTAGTTTTGCCGTCGACCAGCACAAGTTTTGTGAGAATTTCTCTTTGCGCAAATGATGTTCGCCTGCAGTGCCGTCGCGTCGGACACCAGCTCTCCTGTTGTTCGTCACTCATTTTGGTCGTTTCGTGCGGCACGGAGCTAATAAAGCTAAGATGGGTTGAGTGGAACCATTATCGTATGCTCGGCTCCAATTGTGGTACCGCTGCATAGGTCGGTCCACACACCCAGACAAAACACACGAATTCCTATGGGAGGTGCAGGGAAAAATAGGTCACCCATATTGACCGAGGCGAACGGCACTCATGTCAAGAGAAGGGCTTACACAATCAGCCGCTACGTACGCAGTTCGGTTACATTATCGTGACCACAATGTTGCCTGAACATCGTGTAATCGGCCCACTCCTCAGTAGTTGATATGTTGCAACAATAGGCTATAGATCTAGACTGGTTTTGCTGGGGGTCATTACAGCCTACGCTGATACAATAACGTGGCAGTTGCGAAAGCTAATAGAGAGACGTGCGAAGCTGGGACACCGCCTACCTGCTTCATCCGACATGGTCCCATGGACCGAATCGGACAAGGTTCTCTCTAATGAGAATAACGGTGCACATTGAGATTGCGCATCGCAATCCACTCACAAAATGATTGATACACAATTACGATTCGGACGTCCGATTTTCCAATTGTCACACACCAACACAGGTTGATGCGTATGGGCACTGCACACCAACTAGGCGAATGTCAATGGGGAGAGGGGAGCGTAGTTCAGAACTTCGGTCGCTGCTCACGATCAAGTAAATGTTTTACAGTGTAGTCTGCTGCTTACACAATACCGGTGTATTAGCGTCATCACAATGTATATTCTGAACATCATTCAGCAGTCTTACTGCTCGTTTCCTACCAACAAATTGGCGAGTTGCTACTTAGATTGCAACGTGTCCAATTTGTTTTTCCAAATGTCCAATTTGGTTTGCAAAATGTCCAGTTTGGTTTGCAAAATGTTCAATGTGGTTTGCAAACTGTCCAATGTGGTTTGCGAAATGTCCAATGTGGTTTGCAAAATGTCAACTTTGGTTTGCAAAATGTCCAATGTGGTTTGAAAAATGTCCAATTTAAAGTGAAAATGGTATCATTTGGAGGATAAGTAACATAAATGGACTGCAAAACACAGCTCCAAATCCGGTCTTCACAAGTTTCTTCCCACGCAGCTCAATGCGGTAGTGGAAAACGCGTCTGACTAGAATGTGTGCCACACATTCGAGTTTTAGCTTGATCACCTTTTATAGGAGTTAGATTGGTGACAAAACCGGCTGTGACGTTTAGTACTTGGAGCGCGCAATGATTGACTTTTATCCATGCATAGGTCAGTTTTGTCATGTACCATTTTCATTCTGGCAGATGTCTGCCACTAAATGCTGCCCCCTAAACGATGCATATAATAACGAACCAGAGACCACTAATCAGTGCATTGAGTGTTGATCCCAAATTGGCCAGCGCTGTTGGGTCTCCCACTAGAGTTACTATAAATGGATCATGAGATCTGTATATTTAATCATGAATCAACTCCACCGACAGAATTTGTCACTTGCGATCTCCTAGATGTAGTCACTATGTCTTCAAACCTACCCTGTTTAATCTGACTGATGTCCGAAGTTAAACAACACACAAGCAGTAATTCGCTAGAATATATGGAAGAAAACTACCTTTGGCGCTTCCACTTAAAGAAATTATTGCACCATGTATGCGCTGAGATACCGACTGTGATACTGGTATCATATCAGAGTGAGCAGATGGCCAACAGAACGAGCCAGACAGCCAATGGGAGGCGGGCGTGACGGAGTCCATTACTGGACTCGGATTGGCCGATATCGTGTGAGTGATTCACCGTTTGTTTAACTGAAGCAAAGGAGGAACCTCAACGACTCAGAAGGGTCGTTAGTTATGGACTTGAACCTGCAATTGATATCGAGGAGTTTGGCTTGCTAAATATGCTGTAATTTTCGCTTAGCTGTCTTTGCCGAATAAACACTTGTCCCTGAAGGACTGAGTTCTGCAACATGGTGTCAGAGAAGACAAAGACGAACCCCACGGGCGGCGCGCGGATGCTGTTTGGATCACCACCGTCTATTCAGATGCCTGCCTCACTGAACATGGATGAACGGAACTTGGCGAGTAATTGGCGTCTATGGAAGAGCAAGTGGGAGGATTTCTGCACCTTAGTACGTTTGGACGAACAACCGATGGCGTATCGCTTGGCCATGTTTTGACACGCAGCCGGGGATGACGCGCGCCGTGTTCTAGAAACATTGCACTGCGACAAAGGCGAAGGTTCCAATAATTTGAATACGGTTATTTGAAAGTTCAGTGATTTTTATGCAGGCCAAACCAACTAAACCTACCAGCGCTATCTTTACTTTTCGCACAACAGAGGCCTAAACGGATCAGTCGACGCGTACCACACGGAATTGAAGATTTTGGTCCGATCCTGTAATTTCTGGAAATGCTTGGGTGACAGTCTCATACGCGATCGGATCGTTCTAGGAATCAATTATGAAAGTACCACAAAGCGCCTTTTGCGACAACGCAATTTATCGCTCCAGCAGTGCATTGATATCTGCAACATTGAGTCCTCGACCACCTATCAATACCAACAAATGAAGCTCGCAACAGATGCAGAATTGTGTGCCGTTTTCGGAGGCGAAGCGGCGAAGACTACTAACGTGAGATACGAGATCTGCAAATTTGGTTCCACGCGACATCCGAGCACCCGCGAACAGTGTCCGGCATGGAGACGGAAATGCGCCAGATGTGGAAAAAGGGGCCATTTGGCTCGTTGCTGCCAATCAACCAATGTGAGTGCAGTCGTCCGTGACAAGTCCCCTACCCAGATGCCGAACGTTCAATTGGCAAAGTGTCTCACAGGGTACCGCAAAAATGTGTCTACGCAAGTCGTTTGATCAAAGGCAAAGAAGTACGATTCCAGTTAGACAATACCAGTTAGTCAACATTCTACCAAGGAAGCACTGTCCCGGAGTGTGCATTCGGTCCGATCAAGATTGTCTGCGTATGTGGAATAGTTCCAAACTTCATCCGAATGGCTCGGCTAAAATCGAAGTGGTTAACTCAAAGGACGGAGCCTCATATCGATTGGAATTTGTGATCATGGAAGAGGAGCTCACGCCGATTCTCAGCATTGATTCGATCCAGTCTCTCGGTTTTGTTGTTTTTAATCATGATCATTTTGCACATGTTTGCCAGGAAGAAACAGATATTAGTGACGATTATCCGTCTGCGTTTAGCCCAGGTTTGGGAAAATTTAAGGGAACCGCTCACTTATCGTTTGATCCTTTGGTACGACCGACACCGCTACCGGCTAGGAGAGTTCCATTTGCACTGCGTTCCAGCTTCTCCGCTGAATTGAGTAAATTAGTGAAAGCGGATGTGATTGCCAAAGTCGACAAGCCAACCGACTGGGTTAGTCAGGTCGCAATCAGTACAAAGAAGACGGGCGAACTGCTGTGTGTATTCACCCAAAACCGTTGACTGATGCCTTGTGTACAGAGCATTATGCGCTACCTACCCTAGGAAGCATTTTGCCGCGTTTGGCCAAAACTAAGTGTTTCACGAAGCCAGACCTCTCTTCGGCATTCTGGCACGTGGTTCTAGATGATGAATCCAGTTTCCTTACTACCTTTGCAACACCGTTCTGGCGTTATCGTTGGCTACGTTTACCGTTTGGTCTGAAGGTGCCGAGTGAAATTTTTCAAAGGCGCTTGATGCAAGCGGTAGACGATTTATATGGTGTAACATGCGTGGCAGATGATGTTCTGATCTATGGCTCGACAGAAGAAGAGCATGACACTAATCTCCACCGCTTCTTACAGCGTTGTGTGCAAAAGAACATCAAGCTTAAACGTGAAAATTTGAACTTCGGAAAGACGAGGTGATTTTCCATGGGCATTTGCTAACAACACAAGGAGTCAGGGTCGATGCAGGAAAAATTAAGACGATTCCAGTGACGCTGCCTCCCAATGGCGTGAAGGGAATCCATCGCTTAAACTGGTTGGTGAATTACTTGAGCCGTTTTATGCCAAGACTCGCTGATATCATGACGGCGATCAAGAAGTTAACTCAGAAAGGAGTAAAGTGGAGTTGGGGTAACGAACAGGAAACCGCATTCGAAACTATAAAACACCTCCTCAGCAATGCGCCTATAATCGGGTATTACTATCCAACGCAGCCTTTGGAGGTAAAGTGTGACAGTAGCCAAGACGGAATAGGTGCTGTTCTCTTACAGAATGGAAAACCTTTGAACTTCCGCAGCCAAACACTCACCATGACCAAGCAGCGCTATGCGCAAATTGAGAAAGAGATGCTTACGGTAGCCTATGCCATGGAGCGTTTCAACGATTATACTTTTGGAAGAAAGACAACGTTGTACACCGACCACAAACCGCTTGTGTCAATAGCCAGGAAACTGCTACACGTCGTTCCTCATCGCCTTCAGCGTATGCTTATCCGGCTTCACAAGTACGGCGTGGATACTGTGTATATGCCTGGTGCACAGACGTTCATCGCGGATACGCTGTCAAGAGCTCATCTGCCGGTACCTGAGGATAATCCGGAAGAGGTCGAAGCAGTAAACTAAGTACAGCACCTGGCAGTGACAGAAGATCGCCTAAAGGAAATAAGGCGCCGCACTAAGATGCAACGCTTTCAGCTTTGCGAGACGTTATTCTAAATGGGTGACCAGAGACAAAGAAGCAGCTGCCGAAGGAACTAACCCCCTACTCCAATTTTCGGGATGAACATTCTGTCTATGATGGTTTGCTGTTTAAGTGAAGCCGTATTCTAATTCTGTCATCGCTCCGAGGAGAGAGGCTGAAATACGTTCATCGCGCTCACCTTGGTGCGAACGGAGGAAGAGGATTGCTCTTTTGGTCAGGAATGACAGGTCAAATAAGAGCTCAGATATCGAATTGTGAGGCGTGCCGTTAATTTATCTAAGGACCCGTAAGTAGTGCTTCTCTCACTCTACAATCTTTCAGGATTCTAACTCATAACCGTTCAGTTTGTAGTCAGTGTTCTACGCTACCGGGTCATGGGTGACAGCTGCAGTTACCGTGGTCTAGTTTGTAGCCGTGCTAGAGTTCACTTCACCCTCTACTGCTATGTGTTTCTTCCACATGTATTTGTATATTTGTGTAGAATCCACTTGGAACTCTTCAAATCGTACTCGGAACTACTTGACCGATTAACTTACAAAGAGCATAAGAAATTTGGCGGGGCCACTTTGTTTTCTGTAAGACGATGATATTCATGGCTGTTCACCACGAGATGTGATATATTGTTCGTAACTCGGCATGTAGACGATCGCCATCTCCTCCGGCCCGGTTTCATAACCACTGACCACAAATTGAACAACTAAGTTTGGAGATGTGTGCTTTTCGGGATGGTGGTGTCCGCATATCTGAATACAGTTGTAATAAATGTACTCGAACATCTCCAAATCCCCCACTATTTACTCAACGAAGGTCGTCGCAGGTTTTTGTGGTTGTTCGACCCAAACACCTCACCCCGCGACTGGCTTAGTCTCTGATGAAACCGTGCAATGCTTGGCTTGCACCTGGATCGCTGGGCTTCGCAGTTGACATTTTTCATGGTGGCCAGGAACTTGTTTGGCGCATGGTGGCTAAGCGACTAGACACCAAACCTACGTTTCAACCCAGTATTGCTAACTATTCCCATCTGACTGCTGGCTGGGTTTTTACACAAGCTGAACTGAACGTGGCAAATTCCGTTCATCTCCGTGATGTTACACTAAAGTGAAGCTTCAGTTTTTTGATGGACAAGGGTAGACATGTACACTATATGTCTATGATATGTGCATCTATAGATCGGTGAGTGTAACGTAGTCTTCTAACATTACACTTACTGTGTTCATTTGTTCTAGTCGTAGCTTATATTCTTTCTCCATGGTCCGGCGTTGCTCAAACAGCTGGAAAAAATAAAACGGAGGCTATTAGCTTATGGTGTATTGGTAAACGAGAAAAAAGCACCTCGTGCCAGCACATAATAACACAGAGCAGTTGGCACCCAGCATGTTCCATGGTATACCTTTTTGGCTCTAGTTACCTTATACAAGGTCAGGCATTTCTCACGTGAGTGTGGGCACGCAAACAGGACTTGCACAGCTTGTAGCGCCCCAAAAGATAACTACTATCTTTTATGTACAATTTCATTGCTGACCAATTGTACATTACTATTTCTTGTTTTAACCTCCCTTACTCTAAGACCATTTTGGCCTCCATCCGGTTTGTCACTTTTTACCTTTGGTGACTCACGACACTGAGCTACGCTCCTGTCTCGCTTCATCCATCCACCTCTTTTGTAGCCCATCGAATACAGTCCGCTGTGTCCGACTTCAATTGCCTTCTGATATCCGCGCTTGATTACACGCATCGTCTCGGACTACTATTCACTAGTCCTGTAATCTCTCCTATCCGGAACACCCAATGAGCTAGAGTCCCTCATCCCTTTGTATTTGCTCTGAATGGTCGAATTGATCAAGAATGTACCGCACATGGGTGCAGGGGTTTAAGCGTTTGACATGTAATCTACGAGCCACCGGTTTGGACGAGATTGAGGACGATTATTACACAGGATCTTAGTCCGCATGCAACAGGTATTTGTGGTGTTGGTACAAGGTTCCGGCATACTGCCGATAACTTCTTTTTACATAGTTAAGACCTTCGCTTGACAGACTTTGAAAGCTATTAACAAAACTTTGTGTGATGTGTAAACAGTGTATAAATTGAAATTAGTTGTTTTAATGCTAAGCTGTGTCGCACACCTTTGCCCGTGTCGACTCCAGAACACCCCGTCAACAGGGCCACGTGAGTAGTGAGTATGGCTGAGAGCTCGACCTTTGAATCTAATATCCGTCGAGTACCTTTTCCTTGGCAATCATGCTGTCAAACGGGATCAGCCAACACGTTAAAAATCAGATGGGATATTGGATGAATCCCCCTTACTGTTACACTCTATCCGCGCCCTCACTAATTCCGGAGTTATCACTTCTGTTCCCATTACCTATACTTGTTCCTACGCTCATCCGAACCGGTTTGATGAGCGCTACTCCGTGTCCACATCTGTTGGATCTATCTTGTGTAGATCATATTATCACTCCAGTTCGGAATATTTGCACATTCTTTGCTTACAAAGACCTTACTGTCTTGGGTTACACCCAAACACGTACACTCACCGAATCATTCATCATTATACACGTTAGCTGCAGGTGGAAAACACAGCTATTGTGCTGCAATACTAAAGACAAGGGAAGAAAAAATACAACAGTGGCGCGCCGGCTGAGTCCCCAGTAACGGATGGACATCGTTCCGGAGAGCTAACAGCCGGCTATCGTGCCGTAAAAAGAGTTATATTATGCCTAGCGAATGAGATCGTGAATGGAGGGTGAGGTTAAGCAGGAGCAGGGTGGAAAAGGAACTCACAACACAAACGCCATTGGGGCCGGCTCCTAGCCATATGTGCAAGTGTGTCCAAGAAAACGTGTTCATCGTCCTTAGGACCCCAGCCAGGCAGTCCGGATGCGCCAACCGACGCCAACTTCAAAGTTAGGGTTTTCATTTCTCTCGACCAAGCCATCGCTTGGCCTCCCCTCCTCCTCTTCCAACCGCACCCCCGGCGCGCAAACAATGTACGTCGCGGGAGTCGGTGTGCTGACATGCGCAACACGTGGCCCAACCATCGGAGCCTGATGCTTGAGACAATGGTGCTGAGCGGTTCACTTGCTTTTCCTGCACCAAATACACGATGCCGAACACGTTAATTGTGGATGCTGTTTTAAGAATGTAAGAACCGTAATAGGGTGCTGATTGCTGTAAAAGAATATTCCATCCTGAGTGCTCTCTCCTTACCCTAGGCAAGGTACAGAAACGAAATAACATTACCGATTTCGTTTGGTTCCGCACAAAGTGTACGGCTAACCCAAGCCCCATGGTTTCGTCGAAACCATGGATATTGTCTAGGTTTAAAACCACCTACTGACACAAAACTCGACGTGGCAACCTGTAATTGTTCCGCGGACTGCGATTATGATTCGACAAAAAAGCGACCGATGACTGACGCAACAAGGGTTAGCATAACCCCCCCAACAGGAAGCCGCATTCACAAATACAGTGCTAGCCTCTTAAACCTTCACCTGATTGTGTATCAATAAATATTTCATATTCGTCAGGCTTCCACTCTTCGGGACATCGTTCTGATAACTGCAACATGACTGAATACCAAAACCGCTGCCGCTGAGATAGCCCTGCTCTACATGATTCTTCTGCGAAGCTGTCTACCTAGCACAGGAGGTGGAGTGCTCTTATATTGTCGAATTGACCACATCAATACAACCAACGATCAAGATACACAAGCTGTCGATGCTCTGGTGCCACCTGTACCTGAAACGTGGTGACATGTGTTTACTTAAAGGACTTACCGCTCTCCAAGGTCCACCATGGAAATGGATCACTGTCTGGCTTCTGCTGTGAGGCGAATCCCGTCATGGTCATACAACCACGTCCTTTTGGTGGGGGAATTCAACCCGTACGCATTACTTCTCTAAGCGAACAATTCAAGGCGAGTTTGCAAGAAGTAATCGCTGGTATACCGCTATATAACCATATCCCCGCTCTCACGAGATTCGGAATTAGCAACGAACCATGTGTCTTAGGTCTTGTGTTCAAGGATGAACCAATGATCGATGCCGTAAACGTGGGAGCACGGATTGGCCGTTGCGATCGTGGGACGCTGGTCTTCCTGTACATCTGCAGCGCGGAGTACAACTAGGTCATCACTCATCACTACACATTGTCTGACCTCGTTCAAGAAACCAGCTCCGTCCAATCTGTGAAGCTTCCCGACGTCGCCTGGGAGGAGTTTGTCATCCAGTTTACCGGGCTAATGGCTAAGGCGTCGGCAACTGAAGTCTTTCCCTTGTGGAGTCGAACACAGGAATGCGTGGCTCTAGAGCAGTAGTTCTCAACAACTATGTGGTTGTTACCCATAAAACGGGTTGACTATAGACAAGTATCCACAAAACAGCTATTCTTTAAAATTCGGAATACCTACGGAGTATTACATTTGTTGTCTTAAATTACTGAAAAAGAATTGAGTAACTGAAAAGTTCCCATTTACTGATAAAGGACGAAGGACCGAAGGCAACGAACTGTCATTAATGACTCATCGTCAGGCCCGTACGATAATATGAGTGAAATAAAAATGAGCGTAAATGTGGATTCGATGAGTTCAAATGAGATTTGATCACGTGTCGACCAGGGACATAAACCAGCAACAGACGACAAACTAGGACAAAGGTGTAGTTGGATGATTACAGCTTGCCTCAGAATCATCCGTAGCTTAAGAGCTTCGCTCAGCTTCTTTTGTGCACAGAAGAGAGGTTGATACGGCCGAATGCTGATCGCCTCGGCACTAGCAAGGTTGCGGAGGCGCATGTCTTTCGACTTAACTGGAGAAAGTCGAAAAGCACAGACAGTCAACATGCTCACTATCAACAAGATAAGGCATACCAGAGCTAGGTACAGCCCCGGTACCGTCCCGACGCAACCATCGTGGAAGGTGTTCATTAGTGCTCTTCGACAAGTGCCGCGCCGTTCGACCGATGGAAGTGGCGCCACAGCCGCACTCGAACTGAAAAGGACGATAGAAGCGGTCAGCGTCGACAATTTGTCTTTGTTTTGAATACGAATAAATAGCTCCGTTGAGAAGACACAGCTAAGATTGGCTGCTGGGAAAGTTGACTTAACAGCCGCTGAAAGGTTTCTAGTTGCACGCTCAGCAGGCGTTCATTCAGCGTTTGCTGCACGAAAACGGATATCCTGACCGTTTCATTCTTAAGAACATGCAAGACAAACCGGAACTGTTGCAAGTTCCAACAGCAGATAAAGCAAAGACTTTTCATACGACTACCTCTTGTGGAGCGGAACTCGGGTACTGGTTGTGACGAGAACCAGTAGGAATTAATACGGATATCAGTTATTCAGAAGTGAGTACGTAGCCGGGCCCAAAGTGTATTGTAAAGAGCTGCAATGAACTAGAAGCAAGAGCACAGAGCAAGGTGGCGTGCGAATCACAGTAAAACAATTTTACAATGGGAAAATACAAACGATAATAAGATCCAATGTCACAAAATACTGAAAGCGTAAATGTTTCATGTTCACTACACGCTCAAGGGGGACTCAACAGCTGCTCGAAGCTCTTAAGCTACCTTGGCTAGACAAAACAGATAATGCTGAAGCCAGCTGTAATTGTGAAACAACACCTTTGTCCTAGTTGGTCGTTTGTTGCTGGTTTATGCCCCTGGTCGACACGTGATCGAAGCTCATTTGAACCGATCGAATCCACTTTTACGCCCGGTGTTTTTCACTCATTATTGTGTGGGCCTAGCGATGAATCGTCGAAAACAATCGTTTACGTTCGGTCCTTTGTTCTTGTAAAAGTATACAATTTTAACTACTTTTATCATTCAAATAGAGAACATCCATTTCTGAACGATGTTTATTAAATCAAGAGGTCATCTCCGTCAATGCGAAGGCTGATATTAATGAGTTTCAACAATTCCTGGTATATTTGGTGTGGTTTCCGCTGATGCACAAATGCTTGGCGTTGCCTTTAAATCGGCCGTAGCGTTTTCACTAAACATCGTTTTTACAAGATCGCTATAGATACATCAATTTTCTCTGATTACTTGGACGTTGACCTTTGTCAAACTATTTCCAAAGTCAACGCTGCTTTCCTTCGCGTACTTTTGAGAACAACTCAAGATACTGCACACATAAAGATGGACTATACCTTGCAACGCTGGTCTCCCAACCGAATACAGCTTCTGTTTATTCTATCTGGAAATATTTAATTGTTGCTCATTTATAATGACCGTTTATTTAAACACATTTATAAACAGTCCCCTTTTCCAATTCATACAAATTTAAAGTTCTGATAATCTAATGTTAAAATTCACGCACAATAATATGCCTCGACGGGGAGTCGAACCCCGGTCCACGAATTTCCGGTCCGTTGCTCTACCACCTGAGCTACCGAGGGCTGACGATTAGGTGCGCAAATTTTAACACATGTCTTCTGCTTGGTGCGCGACGTATTGCCAATAAGCTCACAGTACACTACTCACAAACATCCACCATTAATCTACCATCGCCCATCGGACGTCTGAAGGACAGGAACTTCGGTCTATTGGGAAGTGACGGGTGAGTGAGCCAATCTGCAACATCAGGACAGGTACTGTGAGCTTATTGGCAACACGTCGCGCACCAAGCAGAAGACATGTGTTAAAATTTGCGCACCTAATCGTCAGCCCTCGGTAGCTCAGGTGGTAGAGCAACGGACCGGAAATTCGTGGACCGGGGTTCGACTCCCCGTCGAGGCACATTATTGTGCGTGAATTTTAATCGTGGCTTCTACATTCTTCGAACTTTACACTACTCACAAACATCCACCATTAATCTAATTTTAGCCCATCCGTAGTCGATATTGTAAGGTGCTGAAAATGTACCTATATGGATACATAAACCTTTTTTGACTTGACTCGACTTTAAGTCCTGTTCCAAGTACGTTCGGTTTTTTGCTTTGGGGTCAGTGACTTGCCATTTATTTCAAACACCACTTCCAACTTCACCTTAGATGATAGGTTTCCTCCACCAGTGTATCGACGTGTCCTGAACACGAATCATCTATTTTGGCCCTTTTAGCTTGCAAACTTTCGGTCACTTCTTTACCTGGTCGGCTGACCTATGCTCTGTAATTCGACTCGGCGAACGACTGCCTGACTCAAAAGAACAACGAGCGAGCCGATAGAGGCACTATTTATCGGCACTATTTTCAGGCTTGTATTTTTATTATTTATTACCGAAAATTTATTACAGCACTAATAACTGTACAACAACAAAAAATTTATTTTCTATAATAGAAATGCCAATGTCTCTACCTTATAGAACACACTCCACTAATTGTGGAAATGTATTCCGATGTTACCTAGCACTTCAGGTTACATTGTTATAAAGAAATAATTATTTCAGGAATGTCAAGGCTACGTCGTATGAATTAGATGTATATGTACTGAATCGCAACATATACAGAATGTACCAAGGTGGCAAATATCTTTAAAACACCACTGCAACACTCGCCCCTAACTACTGACAGCAAGTTGACACTGAGAATTGATGACTTCGACGAGATCATCGCTTGTATGACCCAGCGTCCTCACGCTGCAGAAATCAGCAAAAGTCACCCATCATAGAAGGCATGTACTTGCCATTGTGACGTTGCTCCATGACTGCAAATATTTTGGTGAAAGCGATCATTATGCTCATCGCTAAGAGATGCCAAGTTCTCAGGGAAAAAGTCAAAGTGATTGTGCACAAATTGCATCTTGAGTGACATTCAAGCACCAACAGCCCAATAGACCGCAATGAGCATTTTTGTGATGTCTTTGTAGTTCTCGTTCTTCTACTCAAAAATCCTGTACACACTGCCTTGAATGGCCTCCAGTCTTCTAACTCAGATGAAGTCAACTGACATTAAAAAGTACTGTCTGATATTATCCGGCGAATAACCGACCCAATAAGTATCCCTTCTTTGAGCTTCGCATCACTGATCTTGGGAAACACTTGTTTAACTACCGGAACGCAAAACCACCTCGCTTGAGGGTCTTGACGAAGTTTTTAATCAAACCAAGCTTGATGTGCGGGGATCGTATATAGATTTGAACAGATTACGCAAAAGGTGTATACTTTACACTTATTTTTCCTGCAGCATACTCCGTCCTCCCTGGCCACTTTTCGGTTGTGTAGTGCTGTTTAGTTGCTGTACTGTCCCATAAGCACAAGAAACAGCAATATTTTGTGTAGCCTCCTTGCATACCCACTAGGAGTCCAATGACTGAAGTCAGCACAGATGTTCCAACAGTACTTATCGTAGTTCAGTGCAGGGAGTGTCTGTTGCATACTTTCGTAAGTCTCTTCATATTGGTGGCATGCAA